ATGTGTTTGGTGTTTGGTGTCCACACTGCTCTGGGGCTATCTTAGTCCTCCTACAGGGTGTCCACACTGCTCTGGGGCTATCTTAGTCCTCCTACAGGGTGTCCCACAAATTTTTGCAATAGAGAGAGGACTTAAGAGGGCATTCATTCGTCAACTTAATATTACAAATTAAAGTTTTGCTACTTTAATTTTAATGTTAACCCCCCTCCCTCGGAGCCCAAAAATTAAGACAGAGTATATCATAATGAAACCAAGTATGGAAACCCGGTTTCACGTTGAGCAGTTTTATTATTTCATGTAGTTTCTTTACATTGTCTCTTTGTTTTCTGATTAAAATATACGCAAACATATAAACCCCGATAAGCAAGCTTTTGAGTACGTTACGTTTAACGACAGTGCTCCGGAGCTATCTTAGTCCTCCTACAGGGTGTCCCACACTGCTCCGGGGCTATTTTAGTCCTCCTACAGGGTGTCCCACACTGCTCCGGGGCTATCTTAGTCCTCCTACAGGGTGTCCCACACTGCTCCGGGGCTATCTTAGTCCTCCTACAGGGTGTCCAGGGGCCTGAAACCCTCCGGGAAACCATAGATTTTCCTTGTAAAATGTAAATGCTTAAAAAATATCCATTTCAGGAGGAAGATGGTAGAAGTTTGGAAACCACGATAATCCCTACGTATGTACATTTTTGAATAAAAGCAAATCTCGGAAGAAAAATGTTCATCAAAATAGGTTGATTGCTTAAACACAACATTTCTCCGCCTTAAAGAGAGAGACCAGCTATGCATGTTGGTTGAGCTGAAAGTGCAGTATGGTAGATCAACCTTTAGAATTCATTTGATACCAATGAGACATTTTTAGAAAATTTTTTTTAATAAGAGCGTTAAGTCGTTTGTAATATTTCACCAGTTGTTTCAGTCAGCAAAAGAAACGCTTTTTACAACTATTTGATTACCCGGACAAAAAAAAACTTGTTCTTCTACAATACTGCACTTTTAGCTCAACTACCATGTCTAGCCGGTCTCTCCCTTTAATATAATTTATCAAAAGTCAAATCTCAACCTTAAACAAAGAATTTATCAAAATAGAGGTGTCTGTGTCCTAGAATACTTTAATTAAATAGTATGGGGCTGGGGGGGGGGGAACAGACGCAGCAACAGATACAGTGGGGGGGGCGACAGTACCTTTGCACCCCCCTTAGATTTCAGAATAGCTTCTCAATCACTTTTGGTTCCGAAATGAATCTAGCACCCCCCCTCACTTAAATCCTGTATCAGCCCCTGAACAGACGCATTAAAAACAGATTTCAAATTCCCGAATGTTGACCTGTCTGTTTCCTAAGGTTTGATATAGAAGAGGCAACCACTAAATGGATGAAGGATGTTATGGCAGCTGAAGATTATTCCGAGGAACAAGATGATCTCAGGAAACTTAAAATCTTCAATTTTTGAAATCTATAGATTTGTATATTTGTGTATTTGATTTAGAGCTCCTGTATTTCTGCCATTTTTCTTAATGTGAATATATTCAATTTGTAGTCCTTTATCATCATTAAAAAAAAAATACCAAAATCAGTTTAAAGTGTATAAACCCGAAATTATAACTATATTATTACATGTTAAGGATTTATTTTTGTAAAAAAAGCTTAAATTTTCCAAATTTAGATATTTTAAGTGCACAATCTTATAAAAAAAACTGTAGAAAAACAAAATTTTGTGCTGAGCTACGTAAGGGCATAAATCGGGGGAAATAATTCTCTAACATTTCAAGATTTTAAATGTTTCAGCTTCTCTCCTTTTGTAAAATCCAGCGACAATACTCCTGAGCATGTTTGCAGTTTAGAGGGACTGTAGAATTAATTTCATGGGACCCTTCATCTCAAGATTGGCATGTCTGAATCACAACGATATTCTTAATACCTTTGGTTGTGTACACAACACATGTAGTGTCCACTGAGGGGCCGGGGGGGGGGGAAGGCACGCCGCACAATTTCTCTTCTTTTCCGCAAATGACTTCTCAACATGGATTTGCAACACGACTTCTCTAAGGTTTCCACCGTAATTGATTATTTACTTCGCCAAATTATTTTGAGTAATTTTGCAGGATTACGTAAATTAGTGAAGCTTCAATTTCGTGAAATTAAGGCGTAATTTCGCTTGATTTCTACAAAGCAATTTCGCGATAACTATACGAAAATTATACGCATAATTAGCAAAACTTCAATTTCACAAAATTACGTCCAATTATAATGTAATTACAACCAAATTTTGTGAAATTTGTAATATTAACTTTTAAATTATAATTATACGCGTAATGTATTACGACTGGAAACCCTACTTCCCCCTCCTCCGCTGTAATTTCAAATTTCTGCTATAAGAAGGAGGCTATCTAGGTTCTTAGTTTGGACAAAGGTTTGAAGGGTACTGTTGTAAATTGGACGTGTTCACTTCATCAATGGAAGGTCCCTTGAAATCACATCTACAGTCCCTTTAAAGAATGACGGTGGGCCCTGTACACCAGTAGACCCTACAATGTTTAAAACTAGATTCTACCACAACAAAACAACAGGTAGTCAACACAATAGAAGCAGAGGCATATAACCTCTTATATACAAAACAACAGGTAGTCAACACAATAGAAGCAGAGGCATATAACCTCTTGTATACAAAACAACAGGTAGTCAACACAATAGAAACAGAGGCGTATAACCTCTATTATACAAAACAACAGGTAGTCCACACAATAGAAACAGAGGCGTATAACCTCTTATATACAAAACAACAGGTAGTCCACACAATAGAAACAGAGGCGTATAACCTCTTATATACAAAACAACAGGTAGTCCACACAATAGAAACAGAGGCGTATAACCTCTTATATACAAAACAACAAGTAGTCAACACAATAGAAACAGAGGCGTATAACCTCTTTTATACAAAACAACAGGTAGTCCACACAATAAAAACAGAGGCATATAACCTCTTTTATACAAAACGAGCTGGGTGGCAATGGAGATCAGTAAAAAAGTGTTTACTGTAAAATTTTTGTCACAATTTTTGTCGTCGTTATTTAATAATTTTATAAAAACGATTCTTAAAACGTACCTACACAAATTGATGATTTCTAAAGTCGACTTTGCGCTCAAACTCAGTAAGTATATGTCGTAAAAACGTTTTGTAGGAATCTCTAATGATCATTAAAAAAAAATCCACAATATTACATTTTCAGTTCAACTACCATACATTTCCGGTCACTCTCTTTGATAACTTCTGTACAAGATTATATTTTTTTCATGATAACCCTACAGTATAGTTATTATTTAAAATGATAATTTACTTTGAAAATACATAGGTTCCTGTGAAAAGTTCCTGTATAGTGGTTGTGGTGGTAACCATAACAATTTCTTTAACAAATCTGATTGTGAAGCATTTTGCGGAGCTCCTACAGGTAATTGACAAATTACCCGCCATTTTTTATTTTTTTAAATTAAAAAATATTTTTAGAAAATGCTCCAGAAAGAACAGAGAAAACCAAACTACATAAAGAGTTGACAATTTTTGTAAAACGCTTCAATCAAAGGTTAATTTCATGGATTTTAAAATAATTAAATCACTGCAAACAAAACAGAAGGAGAAGGTTTAGATGTGAAGACATTTTCACTGCAACTTTGTAACCTCATAGCTCTGATTTTAATTTAATGCATTAATACATAGCAGACAATCAAAGCATTTTCCTCAATGGGAAATTATGATTGAAACCATGTAATATTTCAATTTTACGAAGAATTTACTTTATTAAGACGCGAAATCTACTAAAGTTCACTAATTGTACGTGATCTTTGTTATAAAAATGCTATAAAACATTTTCTATGAAACCAACATTTTAGAAACGATTATTCTTCTTTTATGGTCTAAATTTCTTGAGTAGAAACTGAAAACTGTGCTGCAGTGAGGCTAGGCGGGGAACTTTAGAATGGTGGATATCAGGATTAATCCTTAATCTTCTGTTTTTGCTAATCTCAAAACTAACATAATCTCGAGATTATGTTAGTTTTGAGATTAAATATTTAGATCAACAAATTGGATTCTATGAACGCTAGATTGGTTCGTTTTCTTGACTGGAAGGGCCTTCACTTAATTTCTCACCCATTTGTTTATAAATACATTAGTTAAAATTGGTTTAAAAGAATCTCAAACGTATTATTCAATTTTTCTTCACCGAGTAATTTACAAAATGGCCGACAACAAATTCTTAATTTGTTAGAAATTGCGGATTTCTCTCATGAGATAGAATTTATTCTCAAGGCTGTAATTGGTCAATACAATTTACGAACTATATAATGCTCGGATACCCAAAGAGAGAGAAAAAGAGTGGATTAAGGACTAAAATTAAAAGTTTCCATAGTGGATATTCGGATTAAGTAGTTGGGATTACAGCTTATCATTTATAATGTTCCCAGTATAGTTATTTTTAATTTGCAGAGTTTGTATAAAAGAAAATATTATTTTTAAATCTCATACTTTTCAAGCAAAAAATTGAAAATTTAAAAAAAATTTCAAATTAAATTGTAAATGCCATGTTCTTGAGAAAGTTCGTGTTTCATTTCACCACGGCATGGAGCTTGTAATGGAGAACTGATTAGGTAATAATTAAGATCTTATTTTTGTTTGAACCATTCTCTTAGAAATTTAAAATGGTTTTTAGACATATCCCTTTCTTTCCATAGAATTGGATCAACATTATTTGGACACTAATGTTTAATGAAAAAATGACAGATGTTTAAATATATTGAATGACGTTCTAAATTTTTATTTTTACATTTCTTTCCCAATTTTTATATTAATTCCACGGGCAAGGCCGGGCACTTCAGCTAGTGTTTAATAATAAAGAATGATATGTTATGTTCAGTAAATCTGAATGTGAGAAGAACTGTCCGCCTGTACAGGTTGGATTAGATAGATAGGGTGTCCCACAAAAAGTCTATAAAAGTTTTTACTCAATTTTGAGGGAATTCTTAACATCTAACATTTCCTGTTGTATGGTGATTAAGTGACGTTACTGCCCTGCACTAGTGCAATAAAGTAACTTTATCACCCTGCTATTGAAATTTAAAATTTTATGACTAATATTTCCATTTGTCCCGTAGCTTGTTGATAATTATTACTGTATCGACCAGAAATTGAGTAAGATTGAATAAAGCTATATATGTTATTGTAATATGGGTATCATGCATGTGTTGGACCGTGTAGTGATCTCTACCAAACTAGAAAACAAAATCCGGGCAAACACTTTTTCGCACTTTTGCATACCCATTACAAGACATAATTAGATGTTAATTAAAGCCTTTTTATGCTTTTAGAAGTTTAAATTTGGGTAATTGGAGTCCTTTGACCTTTAGTCTATAACTTTCTATTGCGTTTTTTCATTCATTTAAATTTAATTCGAAAATCCACTTCATTATATTGATATAATCGGCTACCACCGTAGCAGTACTTAAGTGTATTCATACTATACATTTATAAAATCACTAATTTAGTGATATGGCTCTGTTTACACTGCACAATTGCTGTCTCTCATGCTCATTGGACTTATTAAAGTTATAATTTGATTCTAGAAGTCCTCTTAATATTTTAGAGTTTTCTGGCTCTCACTGTATATTATAATTCAAGTAAGGACTGTAAATAGGCTAATGAACATGAGACGTAACAACTGTGCAGGGGAGGCCATGTAAACAGACCCGTTTCACTTGTTAAGTGATTTATTAGTTACTGATTAAGCTTTTCGTTTAAAATAGCATCAAATACACTTAGTTATTGATTTAATGTCGTCTTCCTATCCCACAGTTTCTGGTCCTCAATGTATATTAAAATATGTATTTTTTAAGATTTCAGCTTATGAATCTGTTTGTGCCCGGCTACGAGAACGAGGACATTGTGTTGTTGGTGGGGGAAGGTTCTTCTACGATAAATACTCCAACAGATGTATTCGGTAAAAACCTTCAGTGAGGACCAGAATACTCTGAAATAGGAAGACGACTTTTAGACTCAAGTTTTTACTTTAAATAGTTCAATAAGCATGGTACACAGCAATTGTGCAATGTAAACAGAACCATATCACATAGTTAGGGATTTAATAAGTGTGTAATGAAATTATTTGCTTTGAAACAACATCAAATAACTTAAGTATTGCTATAAAATTCTTCTTCTTATTTCAGAATTTGCTAGTTATCATTGTACACCATGTACATAGTACACTCAACTCAATTGAATCTCGTTCGTTAATTAGAAACATTATTTTCTACTGAACAACGTACATAGGTTCGTTATTATCTAAACATCTACTAACAATCTAATGCATAACTCCTGTATGCCGAGTCCATTAGCGCCTGATCCTTTCAGGGTTCAGTCATGTGTTTGGTGTTTGGAACCAATAGAAATTGCATGGCGGTTACATCAATCTTTCTATCTATACCATCATCGAATTAGAGATAAATCCTAAAATCAGTGCTATACTTTAAACGTAAATATTCACTTCTACTGAAACAATAGTATTTAGGCTTTAATGGCTTTATGTTTGAAAATAAATATATATATATGAATACCGTTTTTTTTATTGAATAATAAATTGATTATATATTTATATGTATATATATATATATATATATATATGTATATATATATATTTATATTATATATTTATATTTGTATATATATATATATTTATATATGTATAGATATATATATATATAAAGGTTTACAGCCTGTGACGATCTTGGTCCTTCAGTAAATAACTTTGGAACAAGAGATGAATGCAAAAGAACTTGTATTCCTAAAAGGTACCCAAACTCATACTTTAAAAAAATCTCGCCACTTTTATTTGTTATTGTCTTTTGTTCATCTAATTAAAACAAAAAGGTGACAGGGGCGTACGAGGGCATTTGTTTTTAGGGGGGGGCACACTTTGTGCGCGCGCAAAAAAAATTTGGGCCCCCCCCCCTTTGGCAATATTTAAAACCCTTTTTTTGAAAAAATATTGAAACCTTTTTTAACTTTTTATGCCCCCCCCCTGGAATTTTTTTGTTCACCATAAAAATACGCCAAAAAGACTACATTTTTGGGTGTTACTAACAGAGTCTAAAAATTATTCCTTTACTTGAAAAACTAATTTTTTAACTTTATAAATTTATCACTTAACTCCATCACATCTAGCTAAATCAATAATCACAGCATCATTAAAAATTATATTTCACTAATAAACAAAATTTCTTCTGGAATTTTTAGAGAGAATTTACTCAATCTACATATTCACCAACTCTTTTAAGCTTCAATTTTCTGGGATTTGCTTACACAAACATTTCAATGATTTTCTCAGTAGAGAAGGCTTTAAGTGTAAGATCGTTAAGTCTGCTCTCCGTCATAGTACATCTTGTGTAATGAAGTATTCTCTTTAGAAGGCTAAAACTTTTCTCTCCTTGTATTGACAGTGAATTTGGACAAATCCTTCGTCTTTGTCATTGTCAGGAGTTACTTTTTAAACATAGTTTCCTTTTAATTTTGTATTTTCCAGGGGGGGGGGGAAAGGCCCGCCCTGGAACTCCCCCCTGGAGTAGATATCCTTAAACATACCGGAAAGTAGGAAAGATTCTGCAAAAAAAATGTCACTCCAAACAGAATTTTTATTTTTAACAAAAATATTTAGAACTTATATAAAAGCTTTTCTGAGTTGGTTTTGCATTATTTTCTTTCATGTAAAACAGTAAAAAAAGATTCTGTTGATGATTTAAAACTAAACAGCTGAAGATTCATTAGAGCGAGGGATGGCAAAAACGCCAATTTGTAATTCCCAAAAATTTTATAATTATCGCAACCAGTTAATGTACTTTCAATAGATTATTCATTTATAGGGTTTAAAAAATAATAAACCACCGAAGGTACATGTCAAAGTTTTTAACAATTGGTAAAAAATTTTAATTTTTCAAAATCTGTTAGATCAAGTAATCAAAGTTCAAAATACCACTATGAGGTTGCAAAAATATGGGAATCATAAAATGTTAGTATGCAATACCTTTGCGCAACAATAATGATAAATTCATACCATAGAATGATATTTTTAAAGTTATTGAGAAATTAGAAAAGGGAGTTTAAATCTAATATTTTCTATTTGTCTAGTTTACAGTTTAATAAAGATCTAAACTAAATTAGAGAAGAGAGTTTAAATCTAATATTTTCTATTTGTCTAGTTTAGAGTTGAATAAAGAACTTAACTTTACCTCAGCTGATTCATTGACAGAGGAAGAGGAGGGTTCTACTCCAGCTGCATCCATAGTAGAGGCACTCCTAGTTATTCTTGTACTCGGTAGGTACTTAAGGGGTATATAGTGGAGGTACTCCTAGTTATTCTTTTACTTGATAGGTACTCCAGGGGTATATAGTGGAGGTACTCCTACTTTTTCTTTTACTTGATAGGTACTCAAGGGGTATATAGTGTAGGTACTCCAATGGTTTATAGTGCAGTTACTCCAGAGGTATATATAATGGAGGTACTCCAGGGGTAGATAGTGGAGGTAATCCAACGGTATTTAATGGAGGTACTTCAGCGGTAAAATGTGGAGGTTCTATATGGGTATATAGTGGAGGTACTATACAGGTGTATATAGTGAAGGTACTCCAGGGGTATATAGTGGAGGTACTTCAGGGATATATAATTGAGGTACTCAAGAGGTAGATAGTGGAGGTACTCCATGGGTAGATAGTGGTGGTACTCCAGGGTATAAAGTGGAGATACTCTAGGAATAGATAGTGGAGGTACTCCAGGGTATATATTGTAGGTACTGCAGGGGTAGACAGTGAAGGTACTCCAGGGTATATATTTTATTTAAATTCTCAACCCTCCCCTCGGCCTTCACATTTTTCAGAGAAAATTACTCTGCCATATTTTTCAATCTTTCAATGTAAATTTTTTTAATTGTATTCAGTGTTTCGAGACATAAGCCGATTTTTAGCGGTTCAGCTACGCTGTTTAAATTCTTCAAATTTGGCCTCTGTTGTAAATCGTTTATTTTGTTCGTTCTCAAAAATATCGATCATTTTCCATCTTTTTCATTTGTTTTCTCAATGAGCGATCGTTCAGTAAAATCGTTTGTTCAAAAAATTGTTCATTATTTAAAAAATGATTGTTTTTTCAAAAGTTTGTCGAAAAAACGCTTGTTCAGTACAAAAACAAAAGTTTTTTAAAAGTTTGTTTCGAAAAATCGTTCGTTCATTATAAAAGAGTGTCAATATCTTTTGAAAAATTTGTTTGTTAGGTAAAAAAACGATATTTCGATCGAACAATTTATATGGTTCGTTTTTTCCGTTGGTTTTTGAAAAGCGATCCTTTTTTAATTTCTCTGAACAATCCAAGTCGTTCGTCCATCGTTCGTTTTTTTCTGAACGACACCATCATTTACAACAAAAATTTGTTTGTTCTGAAAAACGCTATTTACAAAAACTATGCCCATCTCTACATCTCTACATCTCTACATCTCTACAGACCTGATTTTCTAAGATTTTAATATATTTTGTTTAAGGTATTGGAATGTTTGCTGGTGTTCTAGGCTGGAGACATTACAAAGCAAAACAAGGGATTGAAGCGTATAATCTGTTTGGAAATGAGAGACCGAGCTCAGAGACAGGTACTGATGGAAACTTTTGAATCAGATTTAAAGGGAGTGTTCGCTAAAAATTAAAGGGGGTATGGGTTGATGTCGTATTTAATTCGATATTAATCGCTACTAATTTTACTTTTATCTTCTGCGTCTATATATAACCATTTTCTCCATATATATATGGAGAAAATGGTTACAAACGTCTCATTAGAGCTTGGCGTCCATACAAATTCACACCGAGTTTCATTATTTAACTCGGATCTATAAGTAATTCAATTAAACTTGAATTTAACATTTAGATATACCAACCTATAACTGTCTAATTCAATGCTATGCATTCATATGTATTTAATATATATTAATATTTTTTATTTGTTTTATATATCGATGTACTTTCAACAATGATTTTTTGGCCGCTAGTTGTCTCTCCCACGTGGAGCCCATGAAGATCACCTATAGCGACATCGGTTGTAAAAACTTTGATTTTAAACTTAATTGCATATTTTACAATACGAGTAGAATAATGCAGCTCTGTGAATTTTCATGAACTCTGTGCTCTGAGGTATGTGACCCAACAAATAAAAGTAAAACTAGTGGCGATCGATATCGAAATCAATCCAAAAGATCGATATCGAAATCAATCCAAAAGATCGACCCCTCAAATTGTTCAGAAACATTCCCTTTAAGGTACAGGGCGATGAGACAGGATTGCCGACTGCACAGAGTTTATAAACTCTTTCTTCTAACATTTATGATTCTTTAGTTTTAACTATTTAAGATCGAAAACCAAACTAAACCGTTGGTTCGTCCAGAACAAAAAGCATGCCCAACCTCTCATATTGGTCAACTTTCTGAACTGTTGGGCCCCTGAGAGACCCGTTCATGAGGAAAAGTTTAAGTTTTCAAAAGGAATGTTTTACAGAGAAATCAATGATATATCATTTGTTTCTTCATGAGACAAAGCTTTAAGTGTACAGTTGTGAATCGTACATTCCACTCAATAAATGGAGGATCATCTAAATGTCGTCTTCAGCCCATTAAAAAAATTATTAGACATCTGCTAAGCCTATATTCTGGTTTAGGTACATCTGACATCAGAGCAGGTGGACGTAGAAACCTGACTTTTGAGAACCCAGTGTACACAAACGACATGTACAACGTACATAGAGATGCTGATAGAAACATACAGGTGATGCATCATTTACATAATAACATAAAATAAGCTTCACGATTTAAATATTCACAGCTTCAAGGGTTTGCTCCGTGGATTTAAAGCCTGGCTGGGTGAAAGATTAATTCAAAAAGTTTCTATGCTATGGGTAAGAATACAGTGATAACCAGAAAACTGTAGAATAGGAAGACGACATCAAAGCAATTATACTGAAGCGTATTTGATGTTGTTACAAAGCAAATAGCTTTACTATTAAGTGGTTAATTTACTTATTAATTGGGCCTGTTTACACTACACAATTGCTGTGCCTCATATTAATGACTTGAGTCTAAAAGTTGACTTTCTATTCCAATGTTTTCTGGTTCCCACTGTAGGTTTACCACTATCAATTAATCTGCGACCAAATATTATTTATCAAATTCAAAATAGATACTGCAGTAGATCTTCTATGTATTCGTTTACAAAATAAGTGTACTGGTGTCCCGCAAATTATTACAGTGTAGACGAGACGCAATTCGTCTTAAATCTTTGACAGGTTCAGGGAGTCCCAATAAATATGAAAATTAAGGGACGACTGGAAAATAGTCAGAAAACCATAAAATACAGCCATTGTGCACTGTGCAGTGTCACAAAACCATTTCAGTTAATTTGATTTTAAAGCTATTTGTAAACAAATTTTATAAATAACACAAGACCAATTACATATTAGATTAATTAAATGGCGTCTTCCTATTCCACTGTTTGAAAAAATAGCCACAAAATTGTCAATATCCTGGCATTTACAAGATGTGGTCTAGCTTTATAGTGCTTTCAATATTTGCAGAGAAATGAAGAATTTCGTTCATATTTTAATTTAGTAAAATAAACAAAATTGTCGAAATCTGAACTAAATTCTCCATATCTCGGGTAATGTTAAAAACACAAAAAAAGCAGACCACATTTTGTAAACGCCAGGACTAGTGGTGTTTAGTGATTATTAGCTCTAGAATTTTACTTCTGAAATTAGATTGAAAAATAAATCCAGCAAATTATATAAAATCAAAGACGACTTTCAAGTCGTCTTGCTACTGTCATGTTTCGTGGGACACCCTGTAGTGCAGGGAACTACCTCCAAATCAATAAAGTCTTTCCCTGTCATAAAAAATATTATTTTTTTTAGATTCCTCCTCTTAGCCTAGGAAACCTTGGTATTATACCAGAACTACCAGAAACTCAAAATGGTTCAAGTTTTGCGTAAAAAAATAAATATTTAGTTTGGTTTTATTTATTTATGTTTTCAGTTTTATAATTTTTATAAATATAATCACAGTGTTAAAAATTGCGTATCAAATCCAAACTTTAGTAAATTTTCATTTAGATTAAAATTTTTAATGATTTTAAACTCGTAGCTTCTTTTTACCTGAAACTTGATTAGATTTTTTAAACATATTAAATTTATCATGCAAGCCCGAGCCCGAACACAGCTTAAACACAGCTTCTTTTTACCTGAAACTTGATTAGATTTTTTAAACATATTAAATTTATCATGCAAGCCCGAGCCCGAACAAGCAAGGGCATATACAGAAATAATTCTATGGAGGGGCGAAATTTGAAAAAAATGGGGGGGGGGGGCAAAATTTGAACTGTTAATTCAAAACATTTGGCTTCTTGGATATCAAGCATAAGTATAAGATGCATTAAAGGTTGCACATACAGTCCTATTTGCATCTACTTTATCTCTCCTTCAAACAAAACTAGCAGAAAAAAACATTGTTTCTAATAAATCGACTTTATTATGTTGTTGTGTTAGAGATAATTAGTATTTAAACTAGAGATAGTAAAAGACATTTTTGAAAATGAAAAACCTGGCTTAAATTTAAATTCTATGAGATGAAAAAGGATAAAGGTCCAGAAAATAATAATGACTTGTAAAAGTTTCTGTATTGAAAAAAAAGTCATAAGCTCTTCGTTCATTTAAATGTTTGCTATGGCTGGCCAAACGGCTGAATCAAATGGGCTGAATTTTATTAAGGAAACTCACGGATACCCTTGGGGATGACATAAGCTAAATAAATTACAAGCTTTTTTTAATTCGATTTTTTAAATTCCCCAGGCAAGGCCTGGCACTTCAGCTAGTTTGTAATAAAAAGAAAGAATACAAAACAATTTGAAATGAATAAAGTAAATTATAGATTTTAAAAAAATTGTCTTTTACTCAAGCCAAGCCGAACATTAGGCCAATGTGCATTCTAAATATATTTTTCCTTCGGACTTCTGTCATGGCGGTTCTGGTCCACTAATACAATCTTCTTAGTGCACTAAATGAACAGCAAACTATTTCTTTTCATGTTCTTCACTTTTGAGTTTAAGATTTGAAAAGTGCGAAAGCTCTGAGAAGTCTCATCTTTGGTACAAGTCTTAACTTTGGTACGAGTCTAATCTGCAGGTACGAGTCTCAACTTTTGTACGAATCTTAATTTCGGTATGAATCTCAATTTTGGTACAAATCTCAATTTTGGTACTTTTGTCTCATCTTTGGTACGAGTCTCACCTTTGCTACAATTGTGTCTCATCTTTGGTACAAGTCTCAACTTTAATATGACTTTCATCTTTGGTACAAGTCATATATCTTTGGTACGTGAGTCAGTCAGTCAGCTGTCAATCTCTTCGCAGGCATGCCAACCAAAATTATTTATTCTAGATCTACAAAATTCATCCCCTCTCTATTTTTCTTGTAAAAAATTGCGGCACGAGCACAACTTAGTGGGACCTCCGACAAATTCACACCCTTTAAAGTTTAAACTTTCCGGGGTGCAGGTGTATTTTTCGACCTACGCAAATCCGCTATACTCCACATCCGACCTTTTAGCACGTGGTTTTACAGCTGCTATACATGGACTACTTTCTGGGCCGAGCGCTGCGGCTAGGATGGGCTAGGGGGCCGAGCGCTGCGGCCACGGGTTAGGTTAAGTTAAGAAACTTCCTGTCACACCCATATACAAAATTGAAAGAAGGGGGGGGGGGTCCAAAAATTGTATACTAGGAAATTACCGGTATTTTCCCTCGCAGTTTTGACAGTTCCTTGTTCAAAGATAGTATTGAATAATTAATATGATGAGAGCGTCAGAACTCACACCTATTTAAGGAATCGATTGTAATTGTTGAAATATCCTATTTTACCCCCCTCCCACCGTCATCCAAAATTTACCTGAAATGGTGAACATTGGACTGAAGCGTCGGCTCCCTTGCCTTACCCTACCGCCAAAGCTAGGTCCCCAAGTCTGTTCTAGTCGCAGCGCTCGGCCATGAAATTGTCTCAACCTACTTTTGTA